AAAGGGAAGGTTGGGGGGGGGGGAGTTGAGAAAGAGGCATTTTTCTCCCTCTCCCAAAGTACTAGAACTCAAGGGCATCCACATGAAACTGATGGGCCTTGGTCCAGGATGAACAAAAGGAAATACTACTTGACACAGGGAGTGATTAAAATGTGGGATTCGCTACCAGAGGATGTAGTGATGGCCACAGGAATAAATAGCTTTAAAGGGGGATTAGATAGATTCATGGAGGATCAGTCTATTAATGGCTACTAGCTAGGGTGACTGAGGGGAACCTCTACAATTCAGAGGCTCTAATTCTCTGAATCCCGGAGCCAGGAGGCCACATCAGGGGAAGGCCTCTGCCTCCATACCCTGTTGTTGGCTGTCCAGAGGAACTGGTTGGTCCCTGTGTGAAACAGGATGCTGGATTAGATGGACACTGGTCTGATCCAGCAGGTCTCTTCTTAAGTTCTTAATTACTGGGCTCTCTTGAGTGGCTGAGAGCAACCGCTAAGAACCAGTACAAGCAACAGGGAAGAACCCATATCTATGGAGCCCCTCTTCTAGTAGCCAGATGGGGGTCCCCAGTTTGTACTCTAGGCTAATATCCTTGAAACAGAACTCTCTCACACTCTCCTCTCCCTCCCTGGAACGGTCAGGGTGAAATGATGCTGCACCACCTGGAATCCTGGGAAAAATCTTGGATCGGGGCAGCGTCAGGTCAGTCTCCAAACCTTGGCAAAGATGTGTCTCCCAACAGCCTCCTGCATCCAGGGTTGCTGGTAGAACTCGGCGCGCCTCTCCTCTTCGGGGTTCCCAACCACGTCTGTGATAATCTAGGGCAAAACAGGAATGGGAAAAGAACACACTCAGAGGAAGTGAAGCTTCTTGGCTGCTGGCATCTCAAAATCTGACACAGGCGGAGACGGCAGCGAGGCTGTATAGAACACACTGGACGAGGAGCACAGGCAAAACCATGGCTGGATCCAATCAAGCCAAGGCTGGTCTAGCCCAGTTATGCACATCTGAACAGCAGTTCACCAGGTGCCTTGCAGAAACTCACAGGCATGTCTCTGTGTGGCACTTCCTGCCTCTCACCCTCATTCAAAAGGAGAAAATAATGCAAGCGGAGGAAATGAATTTACTTTGCAGATTTTACTCTGCCTCCAAAAGCTAAGGAGCTGAGAAACTTTTGGGTGGTAAAAGAGGGAATGGAGTGGCAGCACGGGACGCGCTTGCTGTGGGATACATACGAAGAACTCTGCCAGTCACTGAACGAGCATGAAGACTTCCAAGCCAAAGCTTTCAAAAACAGAGTTGGACAGTCCACTCCCGACATACACAGGCCTACCTCCTTTGACTCAGTTCTGAAAGGCAACTGGATGCCTCAGCCCATCTGTGGAGGAGCCACCGGACAGGGGGAGGAGGAACTCCAGGTAGCCTCCACATATACAATTCTGTCATGTGCTCCCCAGCATGGTTCCTCCACAGTCCACTTAGTGGCAGTCAGTGTTTCCTCTAAGCTGAGTTAGTGTGAGCTAGCTCACAGTTTTTTAGCCTCCAGCTCACAGATTTTTGTCTTGGCTCAGGAAGGATGGCTCCAGAGCGAACTAATTTATGCAGTAGCCAAATCGCTCACTCACAACTTTAATGCCAGTCGCTCACAACGTATAATTTTTGCTCACAAGACTCCACAGCTTAGAGGGAGCATTGGTGGCAGTTACCTTCAAGTCCCTCTGCTGAGATCTGATCCATTCCTGGATGAAATCCTGGGGGCTGTTGCTGAAACTCAGCATGAAATCTCGCTGGGTCTTCAGCTGGTTGATGGACTCGATGGTTTCGTGGATCTGAAATTAAAAGGGAGGTGCTGTGGGGGAACGGAAAGGCTACCAGGAGAGCCAGCCTGGCAAGTTGGTCCTGCTGCCCCGGCTGCCTACTGCCGAGATGGAGCTATCGTTGTGGGGGCTTCGTCCCTCCAAGTTCAGCTCAGCCCAAAGTCCCCAAGCAAAGGCTGTGAAGAAGCCCAGAACTTGCATCTCTCTCTCTCTTTCCAACAGCTGCCATTTTGTACAAAACCAGTGGCTTTTCAGCTGGGTGGAATACTCTGGAGCAGATGGCCAGGGGAGAAAATAACTGGGGTTACGGAAGGCAGGGATTGGGAACGTCTGATGTAAAGCGACAGCTTCGACCAGAGAATCTGTGGTCAGGGAAGGAGAAACCCCCCCGGAGTCCAGCAGCACCTTAAAGACTACTGACATTTATTAACATGTGAACTTTTCTATGTCACCACCTAGAAACAGGCGCTGCCTCACAAAGCTCGTGTCTTAATAAACTCCAGTAGTCTTTATGGTACCACTGGACTTCTGTTTTATTTCGCTACAGCGGACTAACATGCTAATCCTTTGCAATCCATCAGGGAAGAAGCAGCTGTAGAAAGAATGATAAAGGCCCTGCTTTTGTACACTGCTGCAACTCTGACCTCCCCTGTTCCACAATGGGAACTACCTCTTCAGATATACAGGGAACACTCATACCCCCCCCCCCCCAACACATGTAGTCACTATGTAATAACCTGACCCAGCTCTTTTGAGATATGGCAAGCTGTACAACAGAATTATGTTCTGAGATTCAAGGATGCTTAACTTGTTTCCTTTTTTTGCAGCATAAATTCTTGATTATGCAGTGATTATGCATCCCCCCCCCCGCTTTTTGCGGGATTCAGTGTGTGGAGGAACACAGGAAGATGACATGGGGGGTGGCGGAAAGTGTTGAAGGAGCACCAGCCTCTCATTTTCTGGCTCATCACAATTGTGCAATTGTCACAAGAGAAGGAAAAAGGTTTCAATTTCCTTTTTGCTTGTGGCCTTCATCTTTTTAGTATAGTTGATGGCTCTCTTTCTGTTTTCTCAGCTGTTTATATCATGAAGGAGTAGACACTAATCTTATTTTCCATTGTAAAAAGATCATCAGGATCCTGACCTGTATAGTCTAAATTCAACCGGACACTATAAAGCTGAAGTCGGTGCCTAGAGCTTCTGTCCACCACAGCAAGGTGCCTAGTTCCCTGCTCTTGCACAACAAAATCCCATCCACTGTTCAAGAAAAAGGACCACTACTCATCCAGTCTCTAACAACACACATGCCCAGTTTATACAAAATTGGATCAAGGAAGAAAATGGAAGCATAGCACGTGCAATGTAATATGCAATAACCTGCCATCAATTTTGCTTCATTTGCTCAGTTGCATTACAGTTTAAGAATTTAGGTTTCGGTACCACAAGACTGCAGAACTCGACACCAGGCTGGATAGGTGGTTCCATCTGTGCTTGCAAGGCCTCCTAGGGGAGTAACATTTCCCAGTCTCAGATGCCTGCTCTGCTATCTGAAATCCTCAGGATACCCAAAGGCCAGCCTGAATTTGGAAGACTCTCATCCCCCAGCCGCAGAACCACAGAAGTTCGCTTTGGAAGCCACGACTGATGACTGCGCTAGGGCAGGCCCCCCCCCCCAACTTTTCCGAGCCTGTGGACAGCTGTGGGATGTTGACACTGCATGGTGGGTGCAACCACAAAACTGGCAGGCACACGAGGCTCTACCCACTACAAAATGGCGGCCACAAAAGGCTTCGTCAGCCACAAAATCTCAGAGTGAGGTCACACATAACGCTGATAAGTAACTCTGACATTTCAGGCAGAAGCGCTGTTTAACAGGTGCCTTTTAAAATGAACATATTATTTAAATTATTTTCTTGCACACCTCCAGTCTACTTCCAGTCATGCAGGGAAAATCCCTGTGGTGTTGTGGTGGCAGCTGCTGCTAAAGCAACTTAAAAAAACACCTGCACAGTGAATCAGACCTCCAATGGCTGATCAGAAGCCCCACCTGGTCACACCTACTTTCTAAAACACTTGGCGGGCACCAGGAATGTTGTCCACGGGCACCATGTTGGGGAACCCTGCCCTAGCGCTAAGTTCCCCCGAAAGGACAAGGAGAACTGCGTACCCAAAGGAAAGCCACGGCAATAATCACTGAATGAGCCGCCACCCACCCCGCATTGTCCACCAAGCTGTGAAAGGTCACATGCTTGGGTCTTGTCCTTGCTCCACGGTTGGCAGGACCGTACCTTGACATCCAAGGAGGCAATTTCCTGCTGGTTGGTGGTGGAGGCCAAGAAGTTGCTCATTTGGGCCTTCAAGGGGTCATCCACTTCCACATCGATGTCATAGCAAGCAGTCTTCTTCTGATCATTGGGATCCACACTGGAGAGTTTGGGGACAGGAGGCTGGGGTGAGGGCCAAGAGTACATACCTTGCTAGGAGCTGCTTCTTCACCACTATCCCGCAAACAGTAAGACCAGGATTAGAATCTTATGTCTCTGTCCTGAATGGCTTCAACACAACTTACTTATTTTGCACATTTTTATCCCACCCCTTCCTCCAAGGAGCTCAGGGCACAGCATCCTCCCCACTTCCATTTTGTCCCAGGAACCACCCTGTGAGTCAAGTTGGGCTGCCTGAAAATGTCTGGCCCAAGGTCATCCCAGTGAGCTTCACGGCCAGCCAGAGATAGGAAGGCCCCGGGGGGGGGGGGGGGGGGGGGGGAGAATGTGTCTTTCCAAAGCCTTTTTTTCCAGAAAAATTGGGGGGAAAACAAACCCAACAGATTATGTGAAATTTCCTTTTACAATTATAAATAACATGTTTATAACAAGGTGTTCATAGATTTAATCCTCCAATATTATTTCTAAAAACTATGTAACATGAAGACTTTTATGTAAGACTATGTAAAGTATCAAATCATTGCAATTCTTGTACACTGAGGATAAACAAATGCTGGAATACAATTCAAACACTGAGAAAATACTGAAGATACATTTCTCAGATGCAAGAGAAAGGTGCATTTCTGTCTCTGTAAAAGTAAAAGTAAAGGTAAAGGTTCCCTTGCTCGAAAGCCAATCGAATCCGACTCTAGGGTTGCGGTGCTCATCTCCGTTACAAAGCCGAAGAGCCAGTGCTGTCCAAAGACGTTTCCGTGGTCATGTGGCCGGCATGACTAAAAACCAAGGCGCACGGAACCGAAGTGGTACCTATTTATCTACTTGCAATGTCTTCCTTTCGAACTGCTAGGTTGGCAGAAGCTGGAACTAGAGACGGGAGCTCACTCTGTCATGCGGCACCCGGGTCTCGAACTGCTGAACTACTGACCTTTCACAGCCTGAAGTTCAGCGTCTTAACTACTTGAGCCACCTCTGAGGAGGGTGCAATTGTCACAAGAGAAGAAAAAAGGTTTCAGTTTCCTTTTTGCTTGTGGGCTTCATATTTTTGGTATAGTTGATAGATCTCCTTCTGTTATCTCAGCTGTTTATATTATGAAGAAGTAGAAGAATTAGAGGAGATAAAATAATGTTCTTAGTTTTTATTGGTGTGGGGGGGTTAACTGCTCTCATAAACTGGCAAAGCAGGTTCCTCATAGTTCAGGTGTTCTTTACATTTCAGGACCTTGTTCCATTTGTAACAAAAAATAAATTTTTAAAAAGTAAATTCAATTTATTATTTTCTGAATAAAATTTACTTTTAATATATCAAAAATGATACTTTTATGCCAAGCCAATTTATGCAGACTGCATTTTATATTCTCAAAGTAATAAAGTAATAAAGTGACTTTCAATTGGTAAAGATTACTAATATTGCATTTTTCCAGTTTTTCCCAAAAAAATCCATTTTTTCCCCTAGATGACCGGGAAGGAGACCTGCCTCACCCTGATGCTATTCCTCATAGGTCCGTTACTCGGCTTTCGCAAACTATTTTCTGTCAGGCAAACTGACATTATTCCCATTTCACAGATGAGACACCAGGAAGCGCAGAGGTTGCAGAAGACCAATTAAGGACCCTTCAGGCAATGAAGGATTAGGAGGGGACGGGTAAAGAGAGTACACGCGGGCAAGGACGGACAGACAAGATCCGCTCCCGCACAAACCTTGCCGTGCCAGCCCTACCTGATGATGTGGTTGATGACAATGGGGTCCGGGTGCTGCAGCAGCCCTGCCAGCTTCATGGGGATCTCTGAGAATCGCATGCGGATGCACCCGAAGATCTGGGGGGGGGGGGAGAAGCCGAGGAGTGAGGCCGTGAGTAGTGGTGCACGATATCCCTTGCCCCATCCAGAAAACAGGCTCAAAGAGTCTGAGCTAAAAGCACCTCCAAGGGGACCCAGGCAAGGTTTCTTGATCCTCAGGGGTCCCGTGACTGAAATGTCCTGGTTTTTAAGGCACCTGACAGGCCAGTGGTTCCTTGCCCAACGTCACGGCTTACTGACCTGGCGGAAGTAGCGGTTGCAATTGATGTACTCCTTCTCGTGGCTGTCCTGAAGTTTGTTGTGTTTGATGTACAGCCAGAGGGCCTGCATGATGCTGGCACGGGTCTGGGTGTGAACGCCCAGCAGGCGAGCCAGGCGGGGGTCCAGCTTGTATTGGGGGGGCTGCAAGGGCAATGTCGCTTGGTTAATGCACACGCAATGCTGTTCAAGCCAAGCGCTGAAACCCACCCCCACCTTCCAAAACAAAAACAACTACGATGGGACCTTTTTGAGTAGCTAACGAGAGTAAACTGTGGAAGGGGGGGACCCATCTCAGATGGACAACCATCAAACTTCAACCCCCCCCCGTTATTTTTTTTAAACATTGAGTTTATTACAACATAGATACCAAACAAGAACATATCAGTATCGTGCAGCCTTGTGATAACTAAGATACTGAACATTTAAGATGCACAGAACGTCATACAAAAATACTTTTCTATTACATTGCATTAGAGAAGGGGATCATAATGCCCATGTTTAAATCAACCAACTACCAAACATATCATACAACCTTTTTAAATGTCAGATATTAAGCAAGTTCATATGAACCAATTTTTAAGGGCCACATTTTGAGAAGCCAAATAACCTAATTCAGGAAACCACTTTACTACAAATTTAGAATATATATCCCTATCCATATTACTTTGAGTTATTTGATCAGTTATTCCCCCCCCCCATTATATATAGATTCCATATCTTGTTATGCCACTTATGTATGGAAGGCCCTGCCTTGTCTCTTCGTTTTGCTGCAATCGATAATGAGGCTATTAATTCTTTCGCAGATTCTGGTATATCTAGATCTGACCAGTACTTTAGAAATAAGAGTTCTGGTTCCATAGGTACTGCCCCCCCCACTTCCCCCCCCCCCTTTTATTTTTTTTTAAGTAATAATCTTATCCCCTCTTTATAGACAGAAACGTTTTGTACAGCTTAAAGCAAATGACCGTACTGCTGTTTGGAAGCCAAACTCTGTGGTATTAAGAGGTAAAAAGGAAGAGAATGAAATCTGGTTTTCCCCCAGTGTGTGAATGATGCCAGCTTCTAAAGAGCAGACGGTGTATGGATTCAACAACAGTTCTCATGGAGAAGCTCTGGTTAGGCCTGGGTACAGCACCATGGCTGTCACCACTACCAAAGCTGCCATCACAGGCATCCAAGGCCATTGTCTACGGTATCCTTTTTCTTGTAGCAGCTTCAGGCTGTCTTTACACTGTTTGAGTTCATCTGTGATTGATTGCTTTTCCTGCTCAGTGATCTCAAACTTCAGCTTAAGCTCTGTGAGTATGGTATGTGTTTTTTCATAATCTTTCTGAGCATTCTTGGCTTGCTTTTCTGCCTTTTCTTGCCTGTAGGCAAGATGGTCCAATTTTTGCACACCAGAATGCTGTGCAGAAGACAAGCTAAAGAATAGTGGCTCTGTACGGCAGAACACAGAAAGATATCCCTCCTCACCATACTTCAAGGTGGTGGAGTCGAGGCCAGGAAATAACGGACCTCCTCCCCTCCCCAAGTTCAGCTGTCTCTTTGGTTAGTGGCTGGGATCCCGAGAAACCAGGGCGTTGTATCCGGCCTACCCTGGAGCCTCTTCCTGGTTACCTGGTGGTCCAGCATGAGCAGCAGAGTGCATTTCACATTGACGTCGCCCGGGCGCTTGACCTGGAAGCCATCTGTCTCTTGGGTCGTGGCGACCCGGTGCCACTGTTTGGGAGCGAGATGCGAGCACGTGAGACAGAGCAAGACACAGGTGACTTATTTCACTATGAAGCACTTTACGTAGATAGCTTTATCTTGATTTTATTGTTTTATGTTCATGTCATAACCCACCCTGAGCCCATGGTGCTTCGGGGGGGGGGGACAGTGGGAGGGCTTCTAGTGTCCTGGCCCCACTGCTGGACCTCCTGATGGCCCCTGGTATTTTTGGCCACTATGTGACACAGAGTGTTGGACTGGATGCGCCATTGGCCTGATCCAGCATTGGCTTCTCTTATGTTCTTATGTTCTAAGAAAACTTCCACAGCAGAGTGTGGGGATTTGAACCTGGGTCTCTCAGATCCTAATCTGACACTCTAATCACCATACTAAGTTGGCTCTCAAATCACACACATAAAATAAGGCATCTTCTGAACAGACGTTTCAATATTCTTTTCTCGGGGGGGGGGGGTGCGCAGTGCCGCCGTGTTTGAGAATACTGTCACAGGGCCCATAACCTGAGATGGCAGCCTAACGGGTAAAGCAGTAAAAAACCTCAATCACGTCATGATTACAAAGCTGAGAAAAGAGCTTTGTAATCCACGAAAAGCACTACAGAAATTAATAAGAATGGGATAGTCGTACTGTGGGGAAAGATGCCGGCCGATGCTGTCTGAGCCACGGACAGCAAAGGCCATAATCCTGTTCAGCCCTGGGGGCTTACCTCCTGGCTAAGCTATTGCTGGAGCCATCGTACCCAGCTGCACTGGCATAACTCTGAAGAGAGAATAGATCCAGGTGGTCAGCCGTGTTGGTCTGAAGCAGTAGAACAAATTTAGAGTCCAGTGGTGCCTTTAAGACCAACAAAGGTTTATTCAAGGTATGAGCTTTCGTGTGCGAGGCACACTTTTCCAAATACACTGGAATGGCAGATGAGGTTCTAAACTTATAGGCAGGGATTTAACAGCAAATTAACATGAGAGAGGTATGAGTGGGTGGGAGTTTAATTTTTTGTTACTACCCCCCTGCCTATAAGTTTAGAACCTCATCTGCCATTCCAGTGTATTTGGAAAAGTGTGCCTCGCACACGAAAGCTCATACCTTGAATAAACCTTTGGCATAAAAGGTTTATTCAAGGTATGAACTTTCGTGTGCAAGGCACCCTTTTTCAAGTACATTGCCAACAAAGGTTAATTGAACCGAACCGAATAAACCTTTGATGGTCCTAAAGGTGCCGCTGGACTCTAAATTTGTTCTGAAGAGAGAAGCTGTTCAGGGGAAAGAAGAGAGCAGCAGCACCTCCCAGAGAGAAATGTGATCTGATATGAATGAATGAATGAATTGAATTTATTACAGCGCATAGCCAGCAATATAAAACCATACCTACAAATATTTATCATATAGATTACAATGTCTAAAATATCCAGATGGTAAAACTATTTGTGTAAAATTATACAAGCATTTTAAACTCTAAAACCAGAAATACGGTGTAAAAAGGACCGAATTTTAGTCTTAAAAAAATTAAGTAATAAGAATAAAAAGATCAATTAGATTAAAAACAAACAGTCCTAACCCAAGTGGCTGCCTGAACACTGATGAGCTTTTACAACCAAACAACAAAATTTCGCTATCTGGTGTAGCGCTATATGATCAGAATTTATAAGCAATTTCTCTATCTTATCCCGATCCGAGGAGCCAACCAAGAGAGGACCAATAAGTTTTGTGCGAGCTTCGTTATATAATGGACATCTTAGGAACACGTGTTCCTGGGATTCTATCTCCCCAGACGCATACATGCACAGCCTCTCATTTCGGGGAGTTTTCTTGAATTTGCCCTCAAGAACTGCAGAAGGTAAAGCAGAGCATCTAGCCAGCGTATACGCCCTCCTAAGTTTATTTGACTCCAAAATGGATAAGTATGGGGCTTGAGCAACCATATATTTACTACTGTATGGCGCTAAAAAGGCAGGGGTCGCCTGTACGTCCAGTTGGCGTTCGATGTCTTCAATCCTCTGCCTGAGCACTAGCTTAGCTTGAACACCACCCCTATCCAAAAGCTCTTGGGGGGAAAACCCTAGTAATGTAATTTTCCGAATAGTATGGGTCAGCCATTCAGATTGGTAATCATCAGTCAGGATTAAGGGCACAAGGCCACATGGGTTTAGGTTTATCTTTAACCAGAGAAAAATAGAGTGCAAGGTGATCTTAGCTTCAACTTTCATCATGCCAGTCTCTAGCCGTACCATTGCATTTGTAACACACTGTGGGACTTGGAGCACTGATCTCAAGAATTTC